TGCCATCAAGTCAAAGTGACTTCTGGTGACCCCTAGTGGGGCTTGAAGACAAAGGGACGTTCAGAGGTGGCTTGCCATCGCCTGCCTCTCTGTCACGAGCAGCCCTGCTTAGCTTCTGAGATCTGATGAGATCGGGCTTGCCTGGACTATCCAGGTCAGGGCTATAAATTGGTTTTGAGGTATTTATTCTAAGATTTCATTTAAACATCTGTTTAAAGACATTTCCTTATACATTAACTATATTAAACTTGGCACTAAATGACATCTTTGTTCTGATCAGCATATTATAAATACGTAATAGAGAGTTTGTATGTAAAGGGACCTTACAATTTTAATGTGGACAATAAACATATTGGGACATTTGGTTAATATAGCAGAGTTTACCCAGTCATAGAAGCATGATACTAAGTGTAGCAAATAAATTTCCCAAGAAGTATATTGCAAAAAAGGTAAATTTACACTTATTCAAGTAGATCCAGTTCACATTCAGATTGAAGTCACAAGAAGAAAAAGAAGCATAATCTAAAGAGTACGTTCCCTTTCACAAGTGGCCAGCGTGTCTGGCATCATGTGTGTGGGAGTATGAGGGCATTGTATCTATAGGAGAGACTTGCAGAGACATGTGTCTCCATGGAAGGCCATATGAACAGAATGAGAGGATAAAGGGAGAGAGGAGGGGTCAGAGGGCAGCTCCCAGGCTAAGACAAAGAGAGGCATCCCATTTACGGAAATAACACCTATACATCCTTAGAGTGATGTAGTGCCCCCTAATGTCACTCCAACAAAACGTAGATTGTTGTAAATGTTGTGGTAAAAGAAGCCCTCAATATAGGCCCCGTTCATACGAGGGGTTTTGGTCCGGGAGCGAGACAGAATGGGGGCGGATCAAACAAGCGCGATCCCACGGCAACATCTGGGAATCGTTGCCTGTCCGTCCCCGATCTGTCTCTTCCGCGTGAAAACCCGCTCTAAAAAGAACCACCTACCTGGGTGGTTCATGCGAAGTGGAGTGGCTCAAACCGGCCGTGGGATCGGCCGCGCATCCTTGCAGCGGCACATCCCGGCCTCCGGCCAAAACTGCACATGCTTGAGCATGCGAAGTTCGGCGGCCTCCCCCTTGCCTCCGACACTTCCTCCCCAGCATGTGATCATGCCGGGGAGCAACGGCGCGCGGTGCACGGGATCCGTGGGATCCCGTCCGCGCGTATCTTTTTTGATGCGGCTCTCTTTAGCCGCGCTTCGCCTCATGTTTTCCCTGCCGTGTGGCAGGGGCCATCATCTACTTTTCAAAACAGAAGTAGCTTAGACAGTTTGATTATATAAGTAGATATGGAATATTATTGCCGTTAAGCTTTACAAGTTCTTAAAGGTTCCTAAAAACTGATATTTACCAAGGTGGCCCAAGAGATCAGTGTCTAATTTTAACCAAACAAAAGGGACTGTCTTGAGTTAGAAATGCCATCTCTTATGTGCCTTATTATTTAATAATAATTTATATTATGTTGGAATTGGTTAGTGTGGGTATTATAAACTTAAAGGATGTGGTCAATCTAATGTTTTCGTCTTTGGCTGAACTCAGAGAAGAAAATTCCATCTTTCCGCAAACAAGATTTTTAGATAGTGTAAACTTAATTAATCTTTTTAGGGACATTCTAGAAGTTATCTCAAAAGCAGGCCAAATTGTATGTAGAAGGTCATTGTCTTGTTTTTCTTGAAGCAATCCTTTCATCTCCTCAATGGGTGGATAGATGTAGAAAAATTACAAGAGGCAAGATGTTCTCTGAGAAAATAAAGACTTGGAAAAGATTTGGGGGTAAAAGTAAACTTTTCCAACCTATAACCAAAGCAAATAAATAGTTTTCCCCAAACAAATCCTACTAAAGCTCCTTTTGGCATGTTTTAGGACATTTAGCTCAAGGTTATATGCAGTCGGATTGCACTGGTGTTTTTCAGGCTCTGCCTTTTTATTATCCAAATGTGTCAAAATTAATAGTCCCCTTACAATTGTGTAAAAGGATTCACTTCAGTCAGAATCTATTATTCACAGGTGACTGCAATGCCCTCTCTAACAGTTTCATAAAGATTGAACTTCTGTTGCATTTCTAACTATAAAGCTATGGAGGATTACATCACTTAACTGCAATTTGAAGCTAGATTTTGGGGTAATACCTGCATAGAAACTTACTTGGTTTCCCTTTTGGCACTTTATTAATCAACAAAAGAAAAGGCAAAAATCCATTAGGAAAAGGTACTTTTGTGAAGGAATTTTGATCTCTCACTGCACCTTTGTATTGTGTGGGCAGTAGAATTATGTTGGCCTTATACATCCAACTCTGCCTTTTACGCAGACAGGGCATGGACAACATAAAATGTGGAAAGTCCTTCATTAATGTTCATTGTTTACCGTTTTTACATTAATTTAAAGTGTCAGCCTATAAACACCAGTGTCTTTGAAAAAAGTCTTGTTTGCAAAACAAATTCCTACAAGTTTGTGGTTTTATAATCATTTTCTGGTTATGGTTCCAGAAGGGTAATCATGTTGTTCCACAGTAACAAGATGTGCTGTGGTATCAGACAGAGTTCCTGCCAAGCTAGGAAGTGAGGTTAGATAGAAGTGGACATGGAGGAAGGAAAAAGGCAGTCATAGACAACACGAGGTGTGGACAGCAAGAGCAGAAGACTGATGGCTCAGCCCGCCTTACTTGAAAACCTTTCTAGTAACCAGGGTAAGAGTAAATGGGATTGATTTCCCTACAGTTCAGTTTTTGGGCTTGAAATTGGGGCTGTATGGCATGCAGGCTAAATCCTTGCTTGCATTCCCTGCTGAAAACTTGAATTCTAATATGTTGTACCTCTAAGAGTAAGAAAAAAATCTACATGCTTCTTCACGTCAGGGAAGCTACTTAGCACTTTCCCACATTACTCCTTAGAGCCAAACTAGGTGTTATGGGTGGCCACCAGTGACATCTTAAAGAAGAATTTGCTATTTAAAAATGGGGGTGCGGTGGTACAGTGGGAACAGGCAACTTTTTGAAGTGCCGAAACAGCCATTGGAGAGTTTGTTGCAGCACTTGAGAAGGCATGGTTGGTCAGACCCGTGGCTACCATTACATTTAGTTTTGCTCCTATTCACTTTGGTAGGAAGAGTCATTTGACAGAGTTCCCACATTGTCATTAGCAGCCACTGGAAATGAGCAGGATTGGCATGGGGATGCTCCTTGGAAGTATCTGGAAACTGTAATAGACATTATGACTTGGATCGTATTCTTGGTTTTGCTGCCTCTGCTCTTCATCCATTGTGACAGCAGGTGCTCCATTGTAGAGCTTTCTCCTCTGGCACTAGGTATTTTTTGGCTTCTGGAAAGATACTGGGCATGTGTGAATGCCTAGTGCCAGAGGAAGTGTACTCTGCTGTGAAAAACTGTCTCCACAGCAGACAAAGAGGAGTTCAAACAGAAGGATCCAAGAACAGGTGGGTGTAAAATGCCACACAGACTATTTCAGGCTGCTTTTATGTGCTCAACAGGACATACTGATCAAGCATAACTGGTTATTTTCACATGAGCCCCTTGGTAGGAAATGCCCTGCTTCTCACATGAAGCTGGCTATATTCTATAGACATTCATGTCATAAATAAAACACCTGATTTCTTTCTGGCTTTAGATGTCCAAGAAAACATGTCTTGAGTGTTTGCTTTTTGAAGCCTTGATGATTTATTGTACATCCATCAGCATTAGTGTTGGCTGCCATTATGTCTTGTTTTCTCTTTGGTTCCTTGAACAAAATGAACCACAAATGGATGTTTAAAGAAAAAGAACTGATTTTAATTAGAAACTTAATGAGTGAGAAACTGGCACAAAATACTGTAATTAGAGAAAATAAACTAAGTTGTCCTTTAGTCTCGTTCCATTGTACTCTTTGGAGCCCTGGGTAGCTGTTCTTTGGCTAGTTTTGAGCATTACAAGCCAAAGTGGCTCCAGTGGTAAATGTAGGCTTAGTTTGGCCTGCTTATAGCCGGTAATTTGCTCCAGGGAACTGAATCTCAAACAACGAATGCATGTATATTAATAAATCAAAATTAGCTCTGTTTTTACAGCAGAACCACACACGAGTCTTCTCCCCAGATTCTTTTGGACACAGACAACTGCAAGTCTATGTTAAAGAAACTATCTTGTAAACTTGGTGAAACCCAGATTGCACTGAAGACAAAAGGCAAATCGCAATGAGTCACTGGATTTGGCTTCTAGCACGAATGTAATGAATTCACAGACATTCGATTAGGGCTATCATTTTTTTAAAAAAATCCAGTGCTTCTAGCTCGTATTATTGCAGAATGAAGTAGGAAGAAGTAAATATGGTATTTGCATCAAGGTTACAAAAAGATATGTGGAAGAACTGCCAAGAGCTAGGGTGCAAAGAAGGGAGGGGAGGGAGCAATAAAGCCACCTAGGAATCCAAAGAGGAGGTTTATTATAGCTTTTTGATATATGTTTTTTGTGGTATAGCTAAGGGCATTTGGGGAGTGAGGTCATGACCATGCTACCTCTACGGGATAGATCACTGGTAGCTGTGGAAGTGGCTACAAACTCAGTTTCCTGCTTAACTGGACTTCCTGCCTCAGAACGGATGGGATTATATTTGCGTACAGCAAGAATCCGTGTGTAGCCCATTCATCTCTGAAATGTTTAACAAAAACTGTAAAATAAAGTTGTGACTTTCTTCATACTCAGATATTGATTGTATCTATTGAATGTATCACCTTGCCTGTGTCTCCCTCTTTGTAGTTGGGTCCCTGTTGCAGGTTCAAGCAAGTAATATTTTAAAGTGAATATACAAAGTACCCCAAATTGGGTACGTCGTAGTGCTTTAACTTTCACAATTAACAGACATATTCAAATGGCTGCCCAGGTGATATTTTGAACTCTGTGTCTGCACTGTCTTGCTATAGTAGCAAATGCTATGTGTTTTCTGCATATTACCTTATCTTATCCTTCTTGTAGGCAGATGTTGTAATGAAATCAGAAGAGCGTGCAAATGAAATTCAGCGGCTTGAGCAGACCATACAAGATCTGAAATCAAAAATCGCAGAGTTAGAGAAACAGTTTCCAGCAGCCGAGTTGCCGATTTCCTCTAGAACTCAGTGGAATGAAATCAAACAGCCGACTTCTGAAGGGCTCTCTGATGCAGATCTTCATGAAGAGGAACCACGTACCCTATCTAAAACAATAACAGCGAGATCCGTGCAGACTTCACCAACAGAAGATTGTTTAATACACACAATGCCTTCAGCCAGCACACTGCCACAGCTTCTCCAAGGGGATGCAAGTCAAGGGCCAACTCAACCATTGCCAACACTTGAGCCACAAACAACCTTTTGCTCGGAAATATCTTTAGTTCTTTCACCAAAACGGATTTCAGTACAGTTGGATGCTGCCCAAGAAAAACATTTGCCACAGCCTTCAGGACTAGATGCTAATTTATTACCTTCTGAGGAATTTGTATCATCCCATCCACCTCTAAGTACTGAGAGTATTGCTTGCAGTGAACATTGCTCGTCCTTAACTTCTCATCCCAGTTCTAGCTTCCCCACTGGACTACTTAGTTCCCTGCCTGGAGCAGGTGGCTTTTTTTTAACTTCATCTTCATCTGGTTCAGGTTTAATGCCTCCACCACCATCCCTACCTGCCTCAGGATTCCCCCCGTCTTCATCTTGCACAATGCCACCTCCTGCCCCACCATTGCCTGGTGAAGGTATTCCTCCTCCTCCACCACCACCACCTCTGCCTGGAATGGGCATGCCTCCTCCTGCCTCTGCTGTGGGTTTTGCAGTTATCCCTCCTCCGCCTCCTTTGCCCGTGGATATCCCACCTCCACCATGTTTTTCTGGAATGAGAGTGCCACCCCCTCCACCTTTGCCAGGGGCAGCTATTCCTCCTGCACCACTGCTGCCTGGCATGGATGGTCCACTCTTTTCCTCCCTTCCTCCTGGAATGCAGGTACCTGCTACATCCCCACCTTTGGCAAACATGGGAGTACCACCACCACCACCTTTACCAGGAATGGGAGTGCCACCACCTCCACCTTTGCCAGACATGGGGGCACAACCTCCTCCCCAGCCATTCCTGGGAATGCCACCCCCTCCCCCACCTCCACCTTTGCCAGGCATGAGTTTGCCACCCCCTCCCCCACCTTTGCCAGGCATGGGTGTTCCCCCTCCTCCCCCACCTTTACCTGGTGCAGGTGTTCCCCCTCCTCCCCCACCTTTGCCAGGCGTGGGTGTGCCACCCCCTCCTCCACCTTTGCCTGGAGCTGGAGCTCCTCCTCCTCCCCCACCTTTGCCGGGTATGGGTGCGCCACCTCCATTGACTGCTAGCCTTCCACATGTTTCTGGGTTTCTTCAACCTCCCTTTGCGACTGGTTTGTTTGTAATGGGGATGGACCAGGAAAAAGGGAGCAGAAAACATGCAATAGAACCTTCTCGACCCATGAAGCCTCTTTATTGGACCAGAATTCAGCTGCATAATAAAAGGTAATACGAACAATGGAAATGTTGGGATGGTTTCTTTTAAGCTTTTCTAACAAAATTGTGTCATTAGGGTTGCCAGCTCTGGAAAGGGAAATCCCTGGGGATGGAGCCTGGGGTGGGCGGGGTTTGGGGAGGAAAGGGACCTCAGCAGTATATAATGCCGTAGAAACAATCCTCCAGAGCAGCCATTTTCTCCAAGGGAACTGATCTTGGCCCTCCGCAGGTCAAATGTAATAGCAGGAGATTTCCTGGTGCCGCCTGGAAGTTGGCAATCCTATGTGTTTTATAATAGCTGCATTGAAACTGAAAAAAAATCCCTAAATCATACCACTGTAGTTTGTTGTGTCTCTGGTACTAGGAATAATCATGTTTAATATTAGTTCATTATTAGTTTGTATGTAATTCTGAGAGAATGCTAGGAAGCTCCCCCCCCCCCCCCTACATGGGGTTTCAATAAAGCAATGCTTATTGTGTTTCTCTCTGAGTTAAGTATAAGTCTAACATATGTATATTTTCTGAACTGTTTTGTGAAAACTGTTGCTCATCAAAAAGTGTTGAGACACAAACACACCATGGTCTCTTGAACAGCCAGTTCACATATGTGGAAGCAGCACTAGAGCCTCCCACTGCAGTCTTCAGCTGGCTTTTTCCACATGATAATCTCATGCAAACATGTTAGGCGATTAGTACAACACACTAGGTTATGGACATAAGAAACCCGGATGAAGACTGCAGCAAGGGAATTCAGCGGTGCCGTTGCTGCATGTCTGAACCGACCCTCGTGACATTACGAAAGGCTTTGCCTCTCACAGTACTTTGCAATGCAGAAGTCTTGCTCTTGTCAGTAGGGAAGGAGGCTGGCAGAAGGGCAGACCTGGGGAGAAGAATTGTGCGCACAGCAGAGGAGTCTATGGGCTGGCCTACCCATGCAGCAGAATGAAGTGGCAGAATCCTGAGGAGGTAGTGTGCTGTCCTACTTGAGACTAACCATGAAGCAGTCCCATTTTTGCCTGCAACTCCATGTTAAAAAAAAAACACACACAAAAACTAAGTAGAAAAGTACTACTTGTTTGGGGGGGAAGTGTTCTAGTCCAGGCCTTTCCCTGATGTGTTACTTTCCCACTAGTAAAGGAACCTTTTTTTAAAATGCAGTGGGACATATTTTTAAAGTCATCCCTCACCTCTAGTCTCAAGTGGGACAGTAGACTCTACCACATTTTGCCTCATACTCATTTGCATATTAAGCGACACACCCCTAATGTAGCCAATCCTCCAAGAGCTTACAGTAGCTCCTGTAAGCTCTTGGAGGATTGGCTACATTAGGGGTGTGTGGCCTAATATGCAAAGGAGTTCCTGCTACAAAAAGAGCCTTGCTGCAGGCCTTAGATCAATTTGGAAACCTCCAGTCTTGGTGTAGGCAAGGAATGTGTGTTGGGAGAGCCAGAAATGTCAGTAATGAAACCTCCATAAAAGCCATGCCCTCTGATGATTTTCTGTCCTTGAATTCCAGATGAATGAGAACAAGCCTGTGTATGGATTGCTGCCTTTTTCCTTATTGCAGTTATTCGGAATTGCTCCCCCAACTGGGGAGGAGTTAACCCGTCACTTTCCCAGCCTTGTGATCCAGTCTTCCACCCACCTGGCTTCTTTTTAATGTTAAAGAAAACATTGGGAGATCCAATCACGATTGTGTGTCATTGTGGAATTTTGCCCAAGAGCTTTGCATGTTCTCATAAGCTTTATTGCTATTTAGGACGGATTGGGTCATGGCACTGAAAAAAAGTCTTGTAGTTTCAACCCTAATTATTCCAGCAATTGGTGTAGGCGTGCATGGTGTTGGATGTTTCTGATATTGTAATTGCATGTCCTCAAATCCTTCAACACCTAATGCAGGAAAAGGTGGATCTAAGCACAACCAGTGTTCAAATTTTCATCCTCGGACCTCTATCTGAAAATTGGGAGTTTGTAAAATTTAGCAATCCACCCATTATAGAAGTGGAATTTGAACTCTGCTTGCTAAGGTCTGACTCTCTTACTCAGACACAGTGAATCAATGCTTGCTCACTGGGATTTTAATTCTTTAGTATCCTGCCCCCAGCCTACTTCAGAGGTATTTGAGGCATTCCTTGTATGAGAAAGGCAAAGGATTTCTAGTAACTCCTCCTGAAACTCCTTGTAAATCAAAACAGGAGATAGCGTTTCAAGAGAGGGCTTCAAGAGAGGGTTCGGGACTCAAATGTGCCTGAGAGTCATGCCCTCAGATGTAGGTCTTTTGCCCTTACCTCCTTAATGTGTGTGGTCTGTTAAAGTGGAGGGCAATGCATGTGATCAGAGGCGTGCTATTTATTTAGAGAGCCGGTGTGGTGTAGTGGTTAAGAGTGCTGGAATAAGGTCTGGGAGATCCAGTTTCAAATCCCCCTCATGCCATGGAAGCTTGCTGGTAACCTTGGGCCAGTCACACACTCTCAGCCCTCATCTACCTCCCAGCATTGTTGTGAGGATAAATCGGAGGAGAGGAGAATGATGCAAGTCGCTTTGGGTTCCCAGTGGGGAGAAAGGCGGGGTATCAATGGAATGAATAATAAATAAATAAATTATATTATCGGTCACACAGGTCCCCTCCATGTTGAAAACAGGTCCCAGGGCTGAGCCCTGTCAGCAGGGAAAAGGCAGAAAGGGAACTGTTTAGAAGTAGGGGGCGCAAGGGATGATTCTATCTTGTAATAGTGCTTTCTTCCCATGACACAATGTGTTGTTGTGGCCTAGGTGTGGCCATGCCACCTCTGTGTGTGAATGTATGTGTGGGAGTGGTTTTCAGAAAATCCAGGGGATGTTCTTTGAGCAATACAAAATGAAGTTCTGTGTTTAACTTTTGCTGTGTCCTATACTGTGCGCATGATTCCCTTCCTCCATTTCTCTTGCCTTCTGACAGACTCCCCCATACCTGATCCCTCTTTCTCAAGTGGGGAAGATAAGAGCTGGTAAGCACACGATAAGACTATGCTACTAATAGCTTCTTTTCAAGAGAGAAAGATGAAAATTCTAAGAAATGGAGAGAGACCCGTAACCTTTTTGATGCAAATCTGTTTCAGACATGGTCAAAGACAGCATGAGATATGCACTGATTATTCATGTCTATAGGTGACATTTAAAGCTCTTTTCAGTAGTTCTGGTTACAATACGTACTATCTGTTATGGAACTATTTTATTTCTATTCTTCTTGTATGCTTCTTCAGCTTAATTTTATGGTTAATTTTAACTTGCAAATAATTGTTTTCCAGACCCCACAATCACTTTCTTGACCACTGCCATAATAGCCAGCAGTCAGATGTGCTTCTTGTTTAATTTGATAGATAGATGTTGATACAATAATTTATTTATATACACACATAATCCAAACAAATAGTAATATGTGATACTGTAGAGAATAGTTACAATGTACATTCTTATATATGTATACATAGGGGTGATCAATATTTCAGCTTCTTTTTCTTTCGAGGTGTCTTATTTCAACTAGAAAAGAAGGAATACTGGTTTTTGAGTGCACAAGTTTAATATTCATTATCTATCTTCATTCCACCATTTTGTAAACATTTAGTTTGACGTTGCCCTACATAGGTCTTTTGCTTAACTTTAGAGATTCTAGTGCTTCACTTGTGTGGGAAAAAATTGAAGAGCCTTCCATAGATTATCATGAATTTGAAGAACTGTTTTCTAAAACAGCTGTTAAAGAGCGGAAGAAGCCCATTTCGGACACCATTGCAAAGACAAAGACCAAGCAGGTGAGTAGTCAATAGCAATGTGGTTTTGTTTGGTTTGTTGCAGACAAATCTTCGTAGGAACATATTAACTAAACTTCCTGAAACTTCCTGAAAGGAAGGAGGTGGCAGGGGAGAGGTTTAGATCTGTCCTCAGTAGCGCACAGCTGGTGCATGTAGAGGTGTGTGATAAACAGATGGCATACATGAGGAAGAAGAAAGAAGAGGTAAGGATTGTGATGAGGTTCATGTGTGGGGTGGGGAAGAATAAAGTTAGATGGATAGACAGATGCCCAATTAGGGCATGAAGTCAAGGGCTTGGGAGGGGGCAGAGGCAGAGAAAGGTGTGTGTTTTTTTCCCTCTCAGCAGCAGCCTTCAGTAGACATGATGGGAATTTATTTTGGTTTCCCCTTATGAGACAATGTATAAAGATATGTAGTGTCTGCAACATAGTAAACTCTGTAATTTGAGGGAACTAGCTGAGTTTTTCCTATTATTAATACTGGTTGGAGGATTGTGTTTTTTAAAAAAGAAAGGAAATAATGTATACATTTTCTACACAGACCTAAAATTTTTAATATTGACTTGACAGCAGCCACTGCCCCACTTTAAACCATCCTCTCCATCTGATTTGCTCCAGCTACAGACAGTCTCACCTGACAAGAAAAGCTTGCTGAAAGAGCAAGTGATCCTTTTCTCTCTCACTCTGCATTAGTGCTGACTTGGTTGGTTGGAATGGGCCTTTATTTTAATTGACAAAATGGCAGCTAGCATATAAAGTCTGCAGAGTTAGGGGTTTACCACTGTGTAGCACTGCTAATAAAGGTGGAGTCAATTCTTCTGTGGTATATCTTCTCCTAGGTGAGGTTTTATCTCAGTCCTTGACTTTGTAGTGATACTTTCCTCATTATGTGAGGGGCCTATGTGAGGGAACAGAAGGAGGCCAGAAGTGTGTCTCGCCTGGACCAGCAACACAGAGGCACCCCTTTGGGACCTCAGATATTTCTTTTATTTGTGGTGCATGGTCATGTTGCAGGCACAATCTGCAGGCATCACTGTAAGGGCTGTAAGAGTGTGGCCCTCTGGCAGGGTCCTTAGATGTGGACCAAGGATTGAATGGAATAATGGGATGCTGATCAGGAGGGCACACCAGGTGATTATCAGGGATTTGCAATGACTGGGAGAATGCACTTCTACCATTTATAACTGTGAGCTGGATTAGAAGGAGTTATAAATATACCTCTTATTCATTGAAGACTGGATGTAACTTAATGGAATTTTATGAAAACAAGCACTACTATACGTCAAAAAAAAGGAAAGGAAAGGTTTTAGGAACTTGCTAAATACTGAGTCTGATTGTTTAACCTGAAGTACAACACAGCATAGAATATCTGAAAAGATCAAGAAAAGGGGAGTTAAAGTTTCTAAGAAGAAAGAATGTGAAAGGATAAATCTGTCCAATTTGTTTGGGCCCCTGCTTCCCCTTCCTGAGCTATAACAATTGGACAGTTCTTAACAGCAATATTGTATTTATGGGGTTTACATTACATCATGGTAAATTTCTGAATGAAGCAGAATGTATAGAACCATTCCAGTTCGATTATGGGACTAAAATGGCTTTGGTTGCCCTGGTGGATGACATGTACCTGGAGATGGCTGGGGAGGAATGTGACCCTGTTAATTCTTCTGGACTTCTTGGTACCCTTCAGGACTGCCTTTTTGGACTGGGAGGCACTGTTCTGCAGTAGTTTTGGTCCTACCTCAAGTGTAAGTTTCAGAGTGTGGTGCTGATGGACTTCTGCTCTGCCCCTTGGCCTTTGGACTGTGGGGTTCCCCCAGGTTTCTTCTTGTCCATTATATAAAGCCACTGGGAGAGGTCATCTGAAGATTTGGGCTGAGCAGCCACTGATACAAAGATGACACTCAACTGTATCTTGTACTACCAGCAGATCCCAGGGAGGCTGTAGAGACTGAACAGGTGCCTGGGGGCAATTTTGAAATGGATGAGGGCTAACAATCTGATGCTTAATCCTGACAAAACAGGGAAGGACTGACATGGGAAATGGATTGTCCCCTAAGAGATCCTGCTTCAATTGGTCCCACCATCTGAGGCTAGATAGGTGGCAACCAGAGAGAAGGCTTTCTCTGCTGTGGCACCAAAACTTTGGAACTCCCTCCCCAGGTAGAGTTGTCTGTCTCCCTCTATTGTTGTCTTTTGCCAGCAGGTGAAGACTTTCATTTCATCTGGCATAGCATTTATTGGATCTGCTTCTACTGTTCTTTGTTTATGCATTTTAATTTAATTTTAAGGATGGGCACAAACCAGCTCATGAACTGAAGTTCCTGATGCACTTTGGCCAGTTCATGGTTCACAAACTTTTAGTGCTGTTTGTGGTGGTTCGTGAATGGAGACAGACTGACACAAATCAATTAATCTGTTTACAAAACTTCAAAGCAACAAGGGGGAATGAAATTCTCCAGCCTTGGAACTCCAATAGGAGCCCTCCAAACCTTAACAGGCACTGCCAGCCGCCAATCACAGAGTTGCCATTCTGCTCTGTGGGCTCCAAAGCCTATATATTTGTCAGCTTTGCTCCCTCCTCCTTGTTTGTTGGCTGGTGAATCAAGAGAGAGGCACAGAGTTAGCAGAGCAGAGTCATTGCTTTGCTTTCTGCTCTGTCCTGTTGGGATTCATTGCTTCCTGCTTGTGATCTGCTCTCTGCTGCTGGGGTTTGGGTGTGGAGTGGATTCAGGGTTCTGAACCACAGCCTTTGTGCTCATGCTGAGCACTAGGGCTTAGCTTGGGTGCCTCCCCAGAGGACCCACATTTATATACCCCCCACCCCACTTGCTTGTGATCTGCTCTCTGCTGCTGGGTTTTGGGTGTAGATAGGTGGACTCAAGAATTTGAGTCCCATTTCTGTGCTCACGCTGAACATTAGGGCTTAGCTACTGAGTGCTTCCCCAGAGGACCCACATTTATATACCCCCACCCCTCCTGCTTGTGAACACCATGAGGGTGAAAGTGGGTGGAAGGGGTGCTCGTTGTGGGGGGAAGCTCTCCCTGTGTACAGAAGCCACTGTCCCTGGGCACCAAACCCAGCCTGCCACCACACTGGAGTCCCACTGGGCAGGGCATCACCAGGGGTCTCAGAGCCTCCTTCCCTTGCTGTGTCCTTGGGGCTCTCCCAAGCGGAAACAGATTTTAGCAATGTGCAGGTGCCAGCAGTTGCTGGAAGTCTTTAGAGAGGACTCTGACAGCAGTGGTTCAGAAATTGGTGGGGAAGCATCCTTCCTTTCCACATCCCAACTCCCTGCTGCCCCAAGTACACTCCCTCTGGTGCCTCCCAGCCTAGCACCAGAGAGCAGCTGTACCTAGTCCCACCTGCTCCAATTGTGGGGCCCCATTTCCGGGCCACCCTGTGGAAGCATTTTCACATCCTCCCCAGTGATACCTGTGTGGTGGAGTGCCAGGTGTACCATGCCCATGTCTGCAGGGGCACAAACACCCAATATCTGTCTTCCTTTATTTTCCACAGGCAACTGCTAAGGATGTACCCCACATTGTTGCTGCCGGAAGAAGAAATGGCTGGCAGTGGGAGGAGAAAGAGGCCCACTCCCTCTCAGTAGGGACAGGCAGAGGGGGGGCAGGAGGCCCCTCCAAGAAAGGCTCCCCATATTCTGGGTGTCATGGTTGGGACCCCAAGGCAGGCCATCCTCCAAGAGGCCATTTCCCCAGGGATGCCAACAGTGCCCCCCAAAAGGGCAAGGGGGAAGGTTCAGGAAGCACTCACTTGCTTCATTGGTGAGATTATTGCAGTGGATGGCTATGACGATTCTGTCCACTTCCCTCCCTTTCTGTTCCCCCTTACTGAGTGAGCTGCCCTAGTACTGTGTTCTCTTTTTTGCTGAAGAACTCTGGCTGTCCCACCCTGTCACAGTACAATATTTTGGCTGCACCTCAGCCCAGGAACCTGAGGGAAGAATCAGGAGCCCCCTAACTTAACTGGCACTTGAGGTGTTTTGAAATTCAAAAATAACAAAATATTTTATTTAACATAGAGAGGGAAGAGCAGGTGAAATCAGGGGTACAATTTTTGAGGTAAAACCAGTACATACACAGACTTTAATTCTTATGTTTCAGGCTAATGAGAGTTTCTTAAGCTTTTCACAGTGACTTGAATCTTTATGTGGAGAGGCTTTTGTTCCAGTGTTTTCCCCAGACACTTCAGTACACTTTCTTTGAGTATTCTCAACTCTTTTGCTTTCCAGAAGGCTGGTACACTTTTTCCAGGACCCAAACCCCTTCTCTTGAAACACCAGTACTTGTCTTGAGTTTTTAACTGACTCTTAAGGTCTCTAAAGGCAATTTGTAACCACACCACGGAATCTCTGTACTCTTCAGAGCTATGACCCTGTTTAGACTGGATAGGGAAATTTCTTCTCTCTCTAGAAGATCTATTACCTTTCCTTGTCCTGAGTGGGAGTCTCCTAACTACCCATTTGTCCTTGCGAACTTTCCCCAGTTCTCCTGTCTGTGTGAAACTGCTCTCAGTCTGGGCTGAATTCTGAACAAATTCTCCTCCTCAGCATTCAACTCTAAAGCCTCTCTCTGCTCAGCTGATGCTAACCAATCAGATTGCTTGGAACAGTCTGTCACTCAGGACTTTCTGTTTCTGTGGAGAATTAACCCTTCAAAGTCCTTCAGCTGTTTGTACAGCACTTCTAAGCTTTTAAAAAGTGCAGTCCATCAGAATGGCTGTATGTCCCTCATGGAGGACATAGCCTTTTGCCAGCTACTGCAACACGTGTCTCCTTGGTACACTGTTCCTTTGCAGAGGCCCATGGGCTGGCAAATCTTGCCCACCACGCACTGCTCTGCAGTGGTGCTGGTCAAGGGTGAGCTCTCCAGTGTGTAAGGCCAAACCGTCCACTTCACCACGGATCTCTGGAGCAGCCAACAGCATGGCTACCTCTCCGTCAGTGCTCCCTCTAAGCTGAGTTAGTGTGAGCTAGCTCACAG